TGTGTGTGTGTGTGTGTGTGTGTGTGTGTGTGTGTGTGTGTGTTTTCCTTCAGTTTCAAAAACTGTACACTCCCGAATCTGAAGGAAAACACACACTCACACATACATACACACACGTACCCCAGATTATAGGGTGTCTGGGTGGCTGAGTTGGTTATGCGACTGCCTTCAGCTCAGGTCATGATCCTGGAGTCCTGGGATCGAGTCTCATCACAGGCTCCCTGCTTAGCAGGGCTTCTGCTTCTCCCTCTGACCTCTCCCCTTTCATGCTCTCTCTCTCTCTCTCTCAAATGAATAAATAAAATCTTAAAAAACAAACAACTGTAAACTCTCTGGAGCAAGAACAGTTAACTAGTGATTTTTTATAATTGAGCCTTACCTCAATGATCTCATGACACACGTGAAAATGTTAAGTAACGATAAACAAAATACAGGTTGACTCTTGAATGGTGTAAGTCTGAACTGCACAGGTCCACTTATATATGGATTTTCTTTTTTTACAGTGCAGTACCATAAATGTATTTTTTCTTCCTTATGATTTTCTTAACATTTTTTTCTCCTCTGGCTTACTTTATTGTAAGAATACAGTAATAATACATATAACATATAAAATATGTGTTAACTGACTATGTTATTGGTAAGGCTTCCAGTCAATAGTAGCTACTAGTAGTGGTTTTGGGAAGTCGAAAGTTACATGCAGAGTTTCAACTGTGCAAAGGGTGGACACCCCAACCCCTCGTTGTTCAAAGCTGCACATGAGATACAACTTACAGCTTATATTACTTTCCTATTTTGATTAATCTACCCATCATTATTCTTCTTGCAGGTTAAGTACTTTCTGCTTTTTTAAGTTTTAATGTAAACTGTCAACCAAGATTTACATTAACATGGACATGGAAACTCTATGGTCTCTCCTGTCCCTCTCCCTTCATCAGTCTGAGGATTCGTAACATAAGTGCATCCAAGCCACAACACATGAGCCACCACCATCAGTCTGGTCCTAGAGAAATCCCCTGTCCCATGACCGCTTAAGTAGGAGATGGGTTCCTAAGTCCTATCGACTCTACCTCCAAATATCCTCAAAACTTTGTCTTTCATTTCCCTTCTGATTAGAACCACTTTGTTTAGTCACTTAGACATTTTGTACGTGGGTTATTACATCAGCCTCTAGCTTACCTCCCTGCTTTTGGTCTTACATTATGGCCAGGATGACCTATCCAAAACAGAAATCTCTTTGCTCTCCATACAGCTTCGAATTCTTCAGTGCCTCCCTAACAGCCACAGCACAGAGTCCAAATTCCTTACCAAAGCATATTAAGACTGTTTAACAGATAATTTAGCAAGAATATAAAGATTTTCAATATTTTAAACCTTATCTCCGGCCCCTTATTCACTCAAAAAAATACTTACTGACTACCTACTACATGTCATGAACTATTTTTTTTTTTTTTTAATTTTATTTGAGAGGGGGAGAGAGCACGCACAAGAGAGCGAGTGTGAGCATGAGTGGGGGAAAAGGGGTGCATGGGAAGGGCAGAGTGAGAGGAAGAAGGAGACTCCCTGCCAGAGAGCCAGATGCAGGGTTCATCCCAGGACCCTGAAATCATGACCTGAGCCAAAGGCAGATGCTTAACCGACTGAGCCACCCAGGTGCCCTGTCACGAACTATTTTAAACATCTGGGGTTGTGTGTGTGTATAAATGAACAAAATAGATGACTGTGTGCACGTGTGTCCATGCGTACACATACACACCAAAGAACCAACCATGGAAGTTTAAACTACACTAGGGCAAAGCTGGCAATAAATACAAGTAAATTACATAGTATATTATGAATGGTATGGTCTATAAGAAAATAAAAGTATAGAAAGAAGTAGGTTGGTCAGGGTAGACCTTATTGGAAAAGCAGAATCTCAGAAGAGACTTGAAAGAGGCATGGAGTGAGCTATGCAGTTTTCTGCAGAAAGGATGTTCCCGGTAGAAAAGAAAATCTGGTGTAAAGGCCCTGATAAGGAAGTGTCTAGAGTGCTCAGGACTGCTAGGAGCTCAGAGTAAGTAAAGGGGGAATGAAGGGAGAGGAGCTAAGGATGGGGAGAAGTGGGAAGAAGTAGAAGCATGATCACGTCGATCCCTGCAGAGAACTGGAAGGACTTGAATTTTACTCTGAGTAATGAAGGAAGCACTGTGAGTGACCAGTGAGCAGAGGAATGGCATGACTTGACAGATTCTGGAAGAACTGCTCTGACTCCTGCACTGGCAGCAGACCAGAGTGGGCAGGGACAGAAGAAGGAATGCTGCTAGGAGGCTACTGCAGTGATCTAGGTGAGACTTCATGATAGATCATGTGGGTGGTGAGAAACAGACTTGTAGATGTGTAATAATCTGAAGGTACAGTCAGTAAGACTTTTCTGACACAATGGATGTATGTGTGAAAGAGGATTCAAAAATGTCACCAAGAATTTTGGATTAAGAAAACAGGAGAACAGAGTTTGTACTAACTCAGATGAGAAAGACCACTGGTAGAGCAGGTTTTGGGGGAAAGCCTGGGAGAACAGTTTTTCATGTATTTAAAATGTCTAGTGGACATTCAACCAGATTCTTGAATATCCAAGTTTGGAGCTCAAAGCAGAGGTTTAGGGTGGAGATTCTGTTTGTTCTGCCTCAAACAATCCCGCATTCCAGGCTCACACAGCGTTCCCCAATGTCTTCCCCAAGTCTTTATATGAGTGCATATTTCAAGACATGTCATGTATCATCTATTTTATGAAACTCACATGATTATCATCTCCTGAATCACCCTGTTTCCTTAAGTCACTTAAGTAACTGAAATATATAATGGCTGGTCTCTTAGCACACTCAAAAGGCTGAACAATTTTTGTATCTTTTGGTAAGAAAAAAAGCAGCCATTTCATTAACACAACAGGCAACTTGCCTAATCTCACCATCAGAAATCTTTACAAACCTTTAAAGAAAATTAGGACCACAAAAAAGATCTTGGCAAGCAGCTCAGTAACCAGATTTTGTACTTTGCAATTTCAGTGGTTATTTGAAGATGATAAGTCTTCAAAAACACACACTGTATGATCAACTTCATAGGCTAAACACAAAGACAGAAACACCTCCTGCCTGTGTTCCAAAGTTATTTTCAGTTAAAAAAAAATTTTCATTTTGTCATCCTTTCCCTTGCCCTGGGGAGGCATTTAAATGAGAAGAATTATTGGACAAGAAAACAGTCTTTTGTTTTGTTCCTGAGAGACGCACTCTAATCTAATTGAGAAAGGAGGGAAATTAAAAAGATGATGTGGCATTATAGAGGATCCAGCTCAAGCAGCCACCTTCCTTTTTTTTTTTTTTTTTTTTTTAAGATCTATATATTTATTTTAGAGAGCGAGAGACAGCACGTGCACACGTGTGGCGGGGGAGTAGGGCAGAGAGTGAGGGAGAGAGAATCTTTAAGCAGACTCCATGTCGGGTGGTGAGCCTGACGTGGAGCTTGATCCCAAGACCCCGATTGCCGCCTAAGCTGAAACCAAGCACTGGATGCTTAACTAACTGCACCAGCCAGGCGCCCCTGAAGCAGCTACTTCCAGCTGTGAGAACCCTGCTATCCAGAGAGGCTACTGCTAGCACCCAAACAGTGTGCTCCCATTATGAGCTCTGGATAGCTATAATCTGCTAAAATGTAAGTTCCACAAGGGCGAGAGTTTTGCCTGTTTTGTTCACTACTCTTTCACGTGGTAGTGCTGAATGAACAAACTTACAATTCTGAAGTACACAAGGCTGAAATACATTCAATATAAAGTAGAAAACAAGGGGTGCCTTGCTGGCTCAGTTAATACGGCATATGACTCTTAATCTTGGGGCTGTGAGTTCGAGCCCCACAGGAGGTGCAGAATTTACTTAAAACAAAAAAAGCCTTCAGGGTTTTAAAAAATTGCTCTCTGAAAGTCAAAAAATTGGAGTACCAAGAATTTGCAATCATCATCTTCAAATATTGATTACAAAATGTTAACCATATACAACACTGGGGGAGGGAGGATCATATGTGAAATCTCTAACAAAGTAGTAAGTTTATAAAAAGTTCTCTGTAAATCAAGAGAAAAGGATGATATTCTAGCAACTATACTTGCTTTATACTGTATAGTATTTTAGAAATTTCATTATGCAAAAAGTATAGCCTTTAAAAATAAAATAGTACAAATACATTACATGTGTTTAGAGAATCAAGATCTATAATGTTGACTAGTATAAAAAGAAGTATAAAAAGTTTGACTCCAGGTTATATTAAGAGAGTAGCTTAAAACAACCCAAATACACAGCCAGGTTCTGAAAATTCCCTTGCCAAAGAAATTCTTACTTGGGTTTTTTTTTTTTAATTGAAGTATAATTGACATATACCATTACATTAGTTTTAGGTATACAACATAATGATTTGAAATATATATATTGCAAAATGATCACCATAATAAGTCTAGTTAACATCATGTCACCATATTTACTTCTTGTGATGAGAATTTTTAAGATCTATTCTCTTAGCAACTTTCAAATATGCAAAACAGTAATATTAACTATAGTCACCAAGCTGTACATTATAACCCCAGGACTTAATTATTTTATAACTATAAGTTTGTTCTTAACGTAGTCTTAAAGTAAAACAGCCTTTGAAGAAAACACTTTCAACATAGCCACAGTTTTCATGCAGTTAAGAAGCAATCTAATAGGGACACCTGGGTGGCTCAGTGGATTAAAGCCTCTGCCTTCCGCTCAGGTCATGATCCCAGGGTCCTGGGATCGAGACCCGCATCAGGCTCTCTGCTCAGCAGGGAGCCTGCTTCCTCCTCTCTCTCTCTCTCTGCCTGCCTCTCTGCCTACTTGTGATCTCTCTCTGTCAAATAAAATAAATAAAATCTTAAAAAAAAAAAAAAAGAAGCAATCTAATATACATATTTCAATCCCCAAAAGGAAATATCGGGTATTATCTTAAAGTTAAAGAACACCAACCTTTTTAATCTCATGTAGTTTTCACTGGCCGCAGGTCGGCATTCAGCTCTTTGTACCACTATTCCTTCCAATGAAAGTTTGTCTTGAATGGAAAGAAAAAAAAAAAATTTAACAAATGTATTCAGAGGTAAAACCCTGACCATTTTTAAGATTTTACCTTAACATACTAACCACAGTAATAATGATTAGAATCAAATGTAATAATACAAATCAAAGAACAAAAGGAATACTTGTAAGTTTATAGTACCATCATTAGCCAGAATAGAGAAAAACCTTACTCTTGGTGAGCAAAAAACTGAGCTTGTCAGGTTTGTTTACTGGGCTGCTGCAGTCCCTTGCCAATACAACTTTTATATATTTAACTTTTTCTAAAGAGGGTGACTTACTAGGGCATAAAATCAAATTTTAAAAAATTTGAAGGGAGTGGAGACTACAACAACTTTGGCAGAGAAGTAACTTCTGAAAACCCAGCTAGTCTAAACCACTAAAATTAAAGGTAATATATATCTGTATGTGTGGGTGACCACACACACACACACACGCAAATAAAATTCTAGAATACACCGTGACTAGAATAGCTAGCCTAGAAAATACTATAAACTGGGCAAGGCTAGTTGTTTAGGCTAAACACTGTCTAGGCTATACTGTGTACCACTTCTGCCTGCCAGTTGCTCTGACTTCTATTTTCCAGCAGATTTATTAACTTGGGTATGTCCAAGTTAGAGCTTTAACTGCTATGGATATTTGTCCAAACAGAGGGGCAATTTTTCCTACCAATAGTAAGAATTCTTAAGGTGACGCTGACACAAAATTCAAGAGAAACCAAAAAGGTAAACAACAGTTAGCACTTACTATGTGACTACTATGGACCAAACACTGGTAAATTCACCTTACAGACCTTAATAGTACACATAGACTATGCCATGATGGCACCAGCTCTCCTACTGTCTGGAAATGTACAACTATGGTTAGGAAGCTATGGTTCAGTCTTAATTTCATGAGAATTCATCCAGGTTTTGAGAAGAGATTCAGGAAATCCTTTGGCTCATCAGCAATGCATTTATGATTCATCTCTTCAGGGCAAATGACTTCGTGCATTCCCCAACATTAACTAAATGCCTACTATGTAAAGGGCACCATCTAAGCATTTGGAATCAAAGATGAGTAAGACACAGTACTCTTTCCAAGAAGCACACAGTTTCCTGGGGTGGGGGAGGAGGGCAGATAAATGGACCAAAATGTAGAGTGCAGCTTGTACCACGCCCACATGATTTACATTAGAAAATCTTCCTTATGGTGACTTTTCTTTATTTTGTCTCCAAACTCCAGGAGACTCCTTACTGTAGCCCCTAACTGTGAATGCATGGGCAATCCAACAGTTGAAGAATTCCTCAGTGCAACATATGCAACTAATCTCAAGTACACACTATCAGATGTCTGGAAAAAGCAATGATGAGAAGCATGCCTACCTTATACCAAAATGTTAGGAAGGAAACGAAACCATAATTATTTTGTATTACATTTAAATGTCTAAAAATAATTTCCCCTTGTTAATCAGTTTAGTAAGACTGATATTAAAATGTGAATTTCCGGGCGCCTGGGTGGCTCAGTGGGTTAAAGCCTCTGCCTTCAGCTCGGGTCATGGTCTCAGGGTCCTGGGATCGAGCCCCACGTCGGGCTCTCTGCTCAGCAGGGAGCCTGCTTCTTCCCTCTCTCTCTGCCTGCCTCTCTGCCTACTTGTGGTATCTGTCTGTCAAATAAATAAATAAAATCTTTAAAATGTGAATTTCCCAAATCTTATATTTGAGTTTGCATTTCCACTGAAGCTGAAAGTTCTATCTAGAAAAATTACTGGTATAACAATAGCAAGATCTGGGGAATTTCTACGTATAAAATATGTTAAATGCATGAGAAATTCCTCTATTAAAACACAAATCAATCCTTTTAAAAAAACTAAACAAACTTAGAATACTATACCATCCCTGAAAACAAGTTACTTATATATATAGGTGTTTCACTGCATACTAAAAGAGCTATCTGTTAATACCATCTGTGAATGTTTCCCCACTTATTTAAAGTAATATGTACTTCAGGTAGATAGGCTGAATTTAATTTTTAGTTAAAGGATCTGCTGTCAATGTTCTCCATATAATACCTGAGAGAGTAAGTTTTCAAAGCACCTGCCCATATCAACTTGGAAATTACTCTCATCACTATTCTCCAATCAAGGTCACTCTCACAAAGCAATAAAATTCACATTCCCCAAACCATAATTTCCTGTCCATCACACCCCCTTTTCAAATCTAAAATAGCTTTCCAATGCTTCTCAAGTGAAAGAGCAGTCTTAATCATCTGCAATGGATTTTCCCACTGACTGGTTGCTCTTAAATCACCCCACATCTCTGTTAGCTTGTTCCCTTTCTCCTTTTTTTTTTTTTTAAAGATTTTAGTTATGTATTTGACAAAGATTACAAGTAGGCAGAGAGACAGGCAGAGAAGGGGTGGGGGGAGCAGGCTCCCCACTGAGCAGAGAGCCTGATGCGGGGCTCAATCCCAGGACCCTGAGATCATGACCTGAACCAAAAGCAGAGGCTTTAACCCACTGAGCAACCCAGGTGCCCCCCTTCTCCTTTTAAGTAAATTTTAAAAGCCAATTTACTTATGATAAAACCTCCTAAGCAAGATTTAAAGCCTTCACAATTTTTAAAAGCCTTACAGGAAAATGTTTCCATATTCTTTCCACTAACCATGCTTCTTTTCCTCTTCAAAACATTGCTTAAGACTTAGGGGGAAAGGTATTAAATACATTATATTTTAAAGGCATCTTGGGGCGCCTGGGTGGCTCAGTGGGTTAAAGCCTCTGCCTTCGGCTCAGGTCATGATCCCAGGGTCCTGGGATCAAGCCCTGCATCAGGCGCCCTGAGCCTCCTTCTCCCCCCGCCCCCCACCTGACTCTCTGCCTACTTGTGATCTCTGTCAAATAAATAAATAAATAAAATCTTTAAAAAAAAATAAAAATATAAAGGCATCTGAAAGCACCCATTTGGACACCACTGCTGTTTATTACAGACCATATTCATTAATACAGGAACCCTCACTTGAAACCACTTTGTTAGGCTAGTTTAAAAGAGCACGAGGGGCGCCTGGGTGGCTCAGTGGGTTAAGCCGCTGCCTTCAGCTCAGGTCATGATCTCAGGGTCCTGGGATCGAGTCCCGCATCGGGCTCTCTGCTCGGCGGGCAGCCTGCTTCCCTCTCTCTCTCTCTCTCTCTGCCTGCCTGTCTACTTGTGATCTCTCTCTGTCAAATAAATAAATAAAATCTTTAAAAAAAAAAAAAAAAAGAGCACGAACACTTGAAACACATCAGGAATAACAAAGACATAAAGCATGGCTCCTGTCCTCAAGGAGTAGAGTCTAGTGCAGCCATTCAAATGACTTCTGTGACACAGATTCTTAAAAAGTATTGAGGGCCCCCGAAGAGCTTTTATGTGGGTTGTACCTTTTGCTATTTATCATATTAGGAACTAAAACTAAGAAATATTTAGAAAATCGGAACTGAAAAAGGCAGAAAGGCTTGGTATTATTATGAATAGTTTTGACTTTATAGGCTCCTTGAAAAGGTCTCAGGAATCCCTCCAGATCACATTTTTAAGAGCTGCTAGTCTAGTAGGAGGTATATAAATCATGTTAATACACCAGAATCACTTTTTTTTTTAAAAAGATTTTATTTATTTATTTATTTGACAGACAGAGATCACAAGTAGGCAGAGAGGCAGGCAGAGAGAGAGAGAGGAGGAAGCAGGCTCCCTGATAAGCAGAGAGCCCGATGTGGGGCTCAATCCTAGGACCCTGGGATCATGACCTGAGCCGAAGGCAGAGGCTTTAACCCACTGAGCCACCCAGGTGCCCCCACCAGAATCACTTTTAATAGACCTCCACTTACCCCACTTCTAGATTATCAATGTTCTCAAGTCCCCTCTTTTAAATACAGTGACAGATGCCCATAGCTTGCCCATAGTGGGTAGTTAGGTTCATCTCTAGTACTCCCACACACTTCTGCTCTAACTATATTAGAACTTGTTTATGCTAGTTTTACTGTTAGTTATTATGCAATTTGATTATATATTATATAATCCCATTAATTGTAAGTATGGGGGAAGGAGATGTTTCTGTGAAAACCAGGTTTAGTGCTTTGGCAAGACTTAATATAAAAAGTAAGTTGCTTAAAAAAAAAAAACTACTGTCAAAACACTGGAGAGATAATAGGAGATTATTAGAGAAACATAAAAGTCTAGAAGGATTCTGCATTCATGTTGTTTCAGTGTCTAAATTTTTGCTCCTTTCTAAGAAGCAAAAATTAATAATAAATAAATAAAAAATTAATAATAAATCTAGATTATGGGTTGAATTTTCCCAAGAAAGAGAAAAGAGATGCTCAACCAGCATATTATACTGAAATCAAAGGCCTTATCCTACATGTACATTGGTGGCTATATGTACATTTGAACTCTTAAGGTAAAATGTTTAAGGCAGTAAGAATTCATATTAATATCATTTTATGATTCTCTACTTTTGAATTTACCTGATAGACTATTGGTCCTTCCCTATGGGCTGTGGGACTCCACTGCACAAAGAAGAACTTTTTAAGGATTATAAGCTAGACACACAGGTGAAACAGAAGGACACTGAAGGTGGTGGGAACAGAGTGAACAATGACTTTTGTCTCCTCCCTCTTTCGCTCTGTGTGTTTGTGCCTCCTTCTGAATTTCAAACTAAGGGACCCACACCAGAACTGGATTCTGGGAAATAGTCCAGAATCATTTCTAAATTTTATCTCCCCCCATGCCCACCTTTTTTGCTAGATCCATTTACTTACTGGTTTCTGTTACTTGCAACCAAAAGAATCTTAACGAGTATGAACACATACTATTGGTAATAGTATTTTATTGATCTACCCTACCCTACCACCTACTTTCAGAAAAAAATTGAGAGAAAATTTTAAAGGTTAAGTATACAAAACACATACTATAAAAAAAGAACTTAAGAGTTTCTAGTTCTGATTCTGTCACTAAACAGTGAGGT